TTATGGGGATTGTGACCTCGTAGGAGACTAACAACGTGTTTATTTTAGACCTTGCCAGGTGACAGGAGAAACCAGTGTGTGCTCTTACCCACCTTAACCCCCAGAGACTCCTCAGTACAACTGCTCATTGACAAGCCTGTTATTTCGAGTTGACTGTCTGGGTCCCCCAGTGTTTCATTTGAGAAATGTAATTTTGAAACAAGACATAGATCTTCTATCTGAGTGGATGTGGGAAAGGAGGATTTGGGAGTTTTGTTTTATAATGCCATTACAGTTAGCTGAAAAAAGTAGGTGCTTACAGAAACTGCTGCTTGTCTGTAGTTAATAACTAACAGGATCTGTTGCTGCAAAAACTACTATTCTATAGACAAACCTGGTATTTTGCAACTACAGAGAGGGTTACTGAAAATTTTGGAGTCCCTGAAATGGGAATTTTGAATTTATTTAGTTAAGTTATGAATAAAGGCAAGTTTTTTTTTCCTAAGTTCTAGAAAGGCTTTCATACAACTGAAAAGTGGTTTAAATTTTCCAGTTAAAGACTTGTCTGGGGTAATTTTGGAGCGAAATGGGTACAGCTTGTTCCTCCTGACATCACATTTATAGGTAAAGTGCTGCTGCTGGGTAGTTGGCTTTTGAGTTGGAAGTCTGTTAAGCAGAAGAAACTTTATTACAGTTGTGCAAACATCTAGAAGCTATATTTAGAAAGAAAGTCTAAGCCAAATGGTCTCTTACAAGTGACATTTTTAATCTCTTCTTTCTGTTCCTGTTTACTTCTTAAGGCCTCATTATGTGAAGAAAACCTTTTATATACTACCCTTTCTTGTTTTATGGACAGGTATTGGTCACCAATATACGTTTTGGAGAGCCTGAAATCTTGTGCAAATAAAGATTGTGTAGCATAAAGATCAAAGATGGCGTTAAATGCAGAGGGGAGAGAAAAAAAAAACACACCACATTGAAGCCAACTTACACCTTATAGAAACATTTCTTTCTAATTGTGTTCCCCAGTGCTTGCCATTTCAGATATTGATCTGAGTCTGGAGCCAGTCTTGGCTTCACAGTGCATCTCCCCACTCCTGTCCTTCCAGTGTATTTCTGCTGTTATATGTTCTGTTTTTCCAGCTGATTGTTTGCCTGTGGTATTACAGTAGTAAGTGGGAGAGATTGTGTTTTATAACACAAAACTCTTCTGCAACCTAGCTCTGCCTAATGGACAGAAATATTTCTGTCAAGTTTAATGCAAGGACTTAAATTTATGATGATGATAATCCAGAATTTCTACAAGCTTCTATCACCATCCCCTGGTATACCCAATTTAATTCTCCTGTCACCAAATTGGCAAGCCTGTTGACAAAGTGGTTCATAGCCTGTTTTGTCAAGTAAAGCCCATGTCTTGCTTACCAGTCCTGCTCTTGTAGAGAGGCTTGGCAGCACCAATCCTGTCACCAGGTTTGGCTACAAGATGTCTTTATGGAAGCCTGTCACAAGTAGGACATGGAAGAACCCCTCTGGGGTCTCATTTCTCCGTTTTGTCTCTGTTTTATAGCTGCTTTTGATTTGCTCCGTGTATCCCTTGGCAATAGTATTGTTGTGTGTATGAGCAAGCAACGAGGGGGAATAGTCCAAGGCTAGAGGAGCTTGGCAGCCTTTCCTGCGTGCCTCATGTGGCCAGATCTGCTTTGGCAGCAGCCCTGCACCAGCAGGAAGATGTCTCCAGCCACCATTACCTGCCCTCCCTCCTGGTGCTCATGCTTGGCTCAGGCACAGCTGCCTCTGACAACCTCACTTAGCTCAGGTGCTAATGATGTCTGCCTGTCATTCAGATGGTATTTTTCTTTAAATGTTGACACTGTGGCTTACCTTCTACTTTTGTGTTGTTGTTTGTTTTGTGGAGGGAAAGAAACGAAGTGCATGGCTCTATGTGCATGTATTTGTGTAGGAAAAGTGGACAACGGCTCTATGTGCATGTATTTGTGTAGGAAAGAAAGTAAAATGCCAGTATAATAAGAATCAACTATTGGGAAGCATGCAGTAAGGAGAAGGTAGAGACTTAAATCTGCGAGTTGGAAGACTCAGGACAGCCTTTGTGTACCTTTCTCAGCAGATAATGTGCTGTTAGCTTGGCATATGGAAATGATAGGTGAAGCATACAAACCTCAGGACAATTCTCACTTTGCACTAATGTTTTATATGCAGTTACATGTGCTACTCATGTTTCAAGAGTTTCAAGTTTTGTAACTGAATCTTCTGCATAGAATGAACTTGTGGCAAGTCATTTAAGACTATTATGCTGACTTTATCTGGATTCTGCTTTTTTGTATGTAGCTGTTGGTCACTATGTTTCTTCCCTCTGAAGAATATGAAACAATGAGCCCTGTAAACTTCAATCTGAGTTACTTCCTATGTGACTTTTAAATCCTTTCAAACAGATGGCCCTGTGATTGGCAGAATTATAAGAGCGTGTTTTCCTAGGTCTGTGACTCCAAAATGCTCGCTTTCTTACTGTTCTGCCACATGGATTTGAAAACTGTGTGTATAAAGTCTGCTCTGAAATCACATTTAATTGCCATGCAAGTTGATCAATCTAAGAGGCAAGAGACGATCAAATAATCTTGATACGTTTCAGCTTTGACAGAACAAACAACTGTCCAGGCCCTTATTTCTCTGTTTTGTTTTTGGTTGAAATTGTTGCTGTTTTTGGGTACGTGTATATTCTGTAGTCATCTGTTTTAGAACTTTAAAAGCCAAAGTAACTGTTATTAGATGCTGTTACAGAGTAGAAATACAGATTCAGTCACTGCAGTACTTAATTGTCACTTCAGAACTAAGTTTTTTGATTTCTCAGCCTATGGACTTGAAGCTTATATGAAAGCAATGCTTTAACTTACTTCATCTTCAATCTGCATCTGCATACTTCATCTGTGAACTGCATTTGACATCTCATTGTCTTCATCTAGGAAAATCAAAATATAATTTAGTGATGAACTTAAACCTTGTGTTACTGTCCTCTGATGAAACACCCTCTAATGGAAGAGAGTTGATGGCTAAGAATAATCATTAGTTTTGTTCATATAAACAAAGTATTACGCTGTAATATATTTCAATATATTTGACCTTTTAGGAGGTAGAGAATGGCTGATTTATTATTGGAAATATGAAGGAATCCGTTTTAGAAGGGAACATCAGCCACATCAAGTCACACAGTATTGCAGACAGGAAGTAGTAATAATTAAACACAATAGCGGGTAAATCAGTTGCTCAGCTGTTTTAGCAATGCTCAGAACAGTTTGATACACATCAATGTATGATGTGTATAATACACATGTTTAAAAGATGGGCATGGGTTGGTAAGAAATGCTGTATAAAAATCTACCTCAGATTGAGAGTGTGTGTTTCCCCCCTAGCCCCTTTTCTGGAAGGAATTTGAGGCTTTAAAAAGTAATGCCAGGAATAGTAGGAAGTGAAATAATCACATCTAAGTAGTAATTTCATATGTTCTTAGAGGTTTCTGTCTGGAATTTAGTATGTGACATGAATCCTCTCTTTTTCAAAGGAATTTTAAAAATAATTTTTAAAGGTGCTTTTTCTTTCAAGGTCACTGGGAAAAATCCCAAATACTTGATGCAGAGAAAAGTCTAAGCAAAATGAGCGATTTTGCAGTGTGAGCTACTGCAGAAGTGCAGTAGAACTGGGACAAAGTACAATCTAAATAGTAACTGGTGCAGAAGTGCAAGTTAGATAAGTGTGCCATTTGTAATGAATTTTTAATTTCCTCACATCTGAAACTGCTTGTGCAGATGCCCAAAAAGATTTCCTGTTTTCTCATTGGCCGCTCTGCTTGTGACCTGGCATCTGCACTAATGTCTGTGTGACTGTGTAGCTGTAATGGGGATTTGCATACACACGTACATTGACTGTGGAAAAATCTCAGGCTGTCATGCGGCAAGGTGGGAAAAAAAACAGTGAATGTACAAATACCAAACTTTTATTTCCATTAAGAAAGAGATGCTAAGCAAAGGAATATTCCGCTTTCCATTTCTTGATCATGGTCTTTGGGTCTATACACTTGAGGAGGGAACCTTGTGTGGCTTGTAAAATACAGGAAAATTTTTCTTCATGCCTTTTAAGCCAATCTGCAAATTATATTGGTTTACTATACAGCTTTTTTTTTTTTTTTTTTTTTTTTTTTTTTTAAGAATTGAATTGAGCAAAATCAGTTGTTTGGAAGCTTTGGATAAACTGTTTGGATAGCTGTTTGAATATGCATGATATACTGTTCAGAGGGATGACAGCAATTTTTGGAAGAGGAGTTCAAGCAGAAAGGGCTGCCAAATCTAAAAGCTCTTTTTTGGAAAAGACTCATCTGTCCACTCCTTGTAGACAAGAGTCCATATGCTTCAAGAAAGATTAATTTAACTGGATATAACCCAAGACTTCACAGTAGTTCTATCAACCCTGGCTGACCTAATGAATGCTTCATGCCCTCATTTTTCCAAGGAGGAAGGGATGATAAGTTGCTGCTGTATGTGTGTGTATGTATATACTTACATTCATGTACACATGTATATGCGTGTGCATACTTTCTGTGGGAATTGGATCGCAAAAAACGTATGTTATGGTTTGAAAGGTGCAACTGCCTGTTGGATATGATTGATTGCAAATGAACAGTAATTGACTTTGCATTGTGTTAGGAGCATAGTACTGTATAGGATTTTTTGTGTGTTGATAAAATAGATGCAACTTCCATAGAGGAAGTTTATGTAATAGATTTGAAAAGTATAAACTTGGTTTTCTAAGTGGACATCTGAAGTTCAAAAAGGTTGAGCTTTTTGTTGTGCCTGTAATAGTCAAGAGCTTCTAAGTACCTGCGGCTTTGGCTAACCCATTCAATTACTGTCTCAGGGAGACTGGCAAAGAACATACTGATATACAATAGAACACTTACTGTGAAAGTTGCTTGTCAAGTGTTTTAAAACATGAATGTTTTTGTAGGTTTAACCAGAAGCTTAAGTATAACTTCAGCTGACCAATCCATGTTTGAGAGAGCTCAAGGAGAGAAGGTTACACTGCCATGCACTTTTGTACTCTCGGAAAATGATGAAGGCCCGCTAGATATCGAGTGGGTCTTGATACCAGCAGATAATCAAAAGAAGGAACAAATAGTAAGTAAAACATTCTTGGAGATGTTTTAAATTCAGCTGTTAGAATAGATCAATGCAAGAACTCTGTTACTGATCTCTGCCTTTTTTTACTTTCACCTTTTCAAGATGGAATGTTTATGATCTTAAATTGCTTTGAAGTACCAGTTATGTGAAGTACAGTGGAAGCTTTGGAGTAACACACTAGGTGTGAAATGTCAAGAAATCTCTAACTATTAACCTCTTTATGGAAGAGCCTTCAAATTAATAATATTTCAGTTATAGAAAACAAGTTGTGCTGTGGTATCCATATGGTTTTCCTGACAGAAAGCTGATTCATACAAACTTGTTTTTAAACATAACTTCTTTTCTTTCTCTGGAAATCTCATCAATAAATTGATAAACAATTTTGAATAGTTTTCTTTGTCAGAAATTAATGCTGATGTGCTGATCTGTTTGGGCCTGTGCTTGCTCAGAATGCACGTTACTGCAGTTTGTGGTGATGTTTTGTAGAATGAGATACATGATTATGTCATGCTTTGATTAAACTGTCAAGAGTGTGAAGAAACAGGATTGTTGTTTCAAGTATTTACGTTCCAGATAGATTTTGTTTTAATCATATTTCTGTTTTTATAGATAATTATGTATGCTGTAGACAGGATTTATAATCATTATTATGCTGCTTCAACTGGACGGATGCAATTTACTAATCCTGATCCCAGATCTGGTGATGGTTCATTGGATATCCTGAATCTAAAATCATCAGACACCGGCACATACCAGTGTAAAGTGAAGAAGGCTCCTGGTGTTCAAAGTCAAAAAATACAATTGACTGTACTTGGTAAGACAATGGTGTTCTTAAATTTTTAGTGTCATTTTTATACACTCATGTCATCCTGGATGTGATATATAAAAATAAAATTTCAGTTGGTCAGTGACATATATTATAAATGCATGGTGATGCTCCATTTTTGAGTCACTTGGAGAGGAAATTCCTTTTTAGCGGGAAGGGAGAGAAGGGTGATAATTAAAGGAATAATAAAATAATGAAGTGAGGTGGTTGTTGTTGTGGTTTTGTTTGTTTGTTTTTCCTTTCTGAAATGCAAGCCAGACCTATACTAAACTTTTTCTATACGTAGAGTTAGGTGCACAAGTTTGAATTCATCTTTAGCTGTATAGACTTACCAATTGGAGCAGTAAATATTTTGATTGTGACTCTTATCTATTAAACACTTTGTTTGTTAGTAAAGCCAGCAAGGACTAAATGTTCCATTGAAGGATCACAGGAGATTGGAAATGACATTATCTTGAAATGTGCATCACAAGAAGGATCCCCTCTTCTATCTTACAACTGGAGAAGAGCAGCTGGCACACAGGAACTGCCTGTCACTTCTATGCTGAGTATTGTCAAACTTTATTTACTACTCAAAATGCTTCAGACTGTATTTGTGTTTTTTGCTCATTGTGACTTGAGTGACTCATGCTTAGGTTTAGCATGGAACAGTCAAGATGTGTTTCATTTCTGCTCCCTTTTCACCGAGTAATATAACTGACATTTAATACAAAATTTTGTTGTTTTTGTCTTAAAAGAAATTCACTACAAGAAATATGTAAAGTTTTAATCTACCATTAGGGTTAGGAATCATGCTCATTCCTGCATGAATATTGCAGCTTCCTTGCTTGCTGATCTCTGGCTTTTCTTTTTCTGTCATGTCAAAGAGTGGGGAGGAAAAGTCAGAATAGATTCTAGCCCAGTTAGAGCTACCTTCAGGAAGGGAATATTGAAAACTTGAGCCTTTACTAGCTAAAGGAGAGATTGAACTGATGTCTTTACCTCTGAGGCAGATGACTGAGGTTGGTTCTTAAGATGAGCTCCAGAGAGAGTTGTACCCAAGTTGTCACAGGTAAAAGAAGAGAGAGAATTTACCCTGCTACTCATTAAGCTATTCCAGAAAATGGGTCTATGTTACAAATTGAGTAATGGGTTCCAAATTGTGGTGGTGGTTGTACTGGATTGTCTTGTGAGAACTTTTCAGAAGCTTAATTTGTGAGCTTAGGTTTTCTAAAAGTTTCTAAAAGTTTTTTGTTTGTTTTTCTTCTGGCATGGTGGTACTTAGTGCCAGGTCTTTTGGATCTTCTTTGTAGTTATGAAAATCCTAACGCTTGAGATGTCTTGCAGGTCAAGCAGTTTAAAAATCTGCTTATAAATGCTTAACTTAGGTTGTGCACAGCATTAGCACCACGTAGAACTCTAGTATGGTGCCTCTAAGAGTAGCCAAAGTGGATGTCTACAGGAAAGAATAAGACTTTGGTGGTGCTTTCTCACAGTGTTCTCCTATTCTTCCATAGTTTTTTTTTCTAAGCTTGTCTTGTGATAAATTAGAACCCATTGACTAAATTAATGCTGGACAAGAGCGAGTGAGGCAGCATGTGTGTGCTGTATAACCTGGTACAGTCACTCTTGCACATTAAATAAGTACCTGTTTCTCCAGCAGAAGAAAGTATAGTATCTTACATCTTTGACCTTCAAGTGCTGATGGCAATGTTACTGGCAATTTATGTTTGTGAACCATTTGAAATTCACATAGTAAAACCTTACCTAGGCAGCTGCAAATGGCTTTAGAAGCTCTAGTAATTTTTTTTTTCCTGTCACTGATTCACATTTAGACTGTCAGTTAGACTAGACTTAATTGGGCACAGTATGTGGTGTTTAAATTGGATCCATTTGTAATTTCGGGCACGATTTTTTCATGTATCTACATCTGAGCTGGTTGTGTAGAATCAGTTTAGACACAGTGAATAGAAGGGAAGCTTCTGTGAGGGAGCAATTAATATTTTGTATTTTAGAATTATGTTAGGGTGAGAGAATTTGAAGTATCCTTTGAAGTATTCATTTCTTTTTACCAATAGTGCAACTTGCATGTAAGCTCAATGTTAAGTCAAATGCCATAGAACAAGCTTTTAATAATGAAAGAGACTTTTACAAAAAATAGTATTTTGCAAGATGATAGACTTGTATTTTCATTTGGATATTGCTTTTAATAGGCTTTTTGATTAAGATTTTGTGCTAGATTAATAATTATGTTATGTTAAGCATGAGATTATCTTTGGAAAATGGTAAACCTTTGTTTTTTGTTATTTGTAGATAAGAATACAGGGGAGCTTCTCTTGAAAAATGCCTCTCAAGACTATTCTGGTATATACAGTTGTGTTGCCACAAACAGAGTTGGCACGGATGAATGTTCTGTTGAGCTGAATGTCACCCCTCGTAAGTGTTTGCTATGTAACAGTCATTTTCTTTTGTATCTTAAAGAACTAAATTTTACATCTCTAGTCTCCTAAAAGAATAACTCTGATAGTTTCTGCTTTGTCTCAACTCCCCAAATGGCGGGCGGAGGGGATCCCTCTACGATTCTGTTACCCTTAGCCTGGAAATGTGCTGCTTTTGAAGTTAAGAGTAAAGAATTAGCTATTTGTACCAAGCTTGCTTTTAACAATCAATATTGTAATTTATCTATTCTAGCTATAAATACAGCTGGTATAATTGCTGGAGCTATTATAGGAACTCTGCTGGGTCTCTTTTTACTGGCTTTTCTCATCTTCTGTTGCTGTAAGAAACACAGAGAGAAGAAATATGAGAAAGAAGTACATCATGATATTAGGTAATGACATATCCTTAGTTTCTGAGTAGTATTGTTTGAAAATTAGCTTTTAAGTGTGTCTTTTTAGTAAGATACCTCATGGTTGAGGACTCTGGGAATTTGGAAAGTCTGTTAACATACTAGTAGCTGATCTGAGAACTTTTTTGTTTAAAATATTGTAGTCAGTCATGTTTATCTAATATTCCAGTCAAATTTTTGAAGCTGTTTAAATTTTTTAAAAATATATTTAAAATAATGAATGAGCTTTTTTTTCTGGCTACTGTATTAGAATAAGGAGAAACAAAGTGGTGTTTTTTTTGCTAAGTACCCAAACAGTAATACCGAGTGAAATATAGTTGTTCTCCAACATTTTTATTTTTTTTCCCTCTTCCAGAGAAGACGTCCCACCTCCAAAAAGTCGCAGTTCAACAGCCCGCAGCTACATAGGCAGTAATCGTTCTTCTCTGGGTTCAATGTCGCCCTCCAATATGGACGGATATACCAAAACTCCATATAGCCAAGTCCCAAGTGAAGACTTTGAACGCGCTCCTGGTCAAAATCCAAACTTTGCACCTTCAAAGGTAGCTGCACCTAATTTAAGTAGAATGGGCGCTGTCCCGGTGATGATTCCAGCACAAAGCAAAGATGGGTCCATAGTATAAGATGTTATTAATTTAAGCCCTGTTTTTAAATGTTCATTATAAGTGTTAAGAAAAAAAACTACCTTGTTCCATCCCTCACTTAAAACGGCATGCAATTTTCCTTGAAGAAAGTTGGTTTGAAAAGCCAGTAACTCCCGCTTTTACTTTCAAACTTACTAGTATATAGCAGTCAAACTATTCATCCAAATCACTGAGGTTCCTACATTGGACATTGAAGGTATTTGGATACAGGTAGGTGGCGGAAGAGAAGATCAGCTAATGTGCAGTTCGGAATATGAAACAATCGGACACACTTGAGAAAGAACAAAAGCATTTCATATGTAGGTCCTAAAGTCCCTCAGAATCCCTGAAGCTTTATCTTCAATATTGGAAAAACAGATATATTTTAACTTCGGCATTTTCTGATGAAGTTGCAACTGTTTGAAATACGTAGAATGACTTGGAGTCCTATTCAGTTTGAATACTTATGCAGTTCTCTAACTTGATAATCTTTGGCGCACTTGAACTCTTAGTTCTTTTTTTATTTGACCGGTTCAATTAACTTTAATGAATCTAAATTGAAAATTTCCATGAGCAGAAGTGTGATAGGAGAGGTTGCTCTTTGAAACCTCAATTTTAGTGTAATAGCAACTAGTTCTAGTAATGTCAGATAATGTAGTATTAAGTTATCTGGTGTAAGAAGTCCTGTTCAGTTGTTACTAATGGTATCCAAGACTTAAAGTCTCTATTTAATTATTGCATTAAGAATACAGGTCCTAAAATCAAAGATAATTATCTAAAAGTTCCATGAGGGTTTTAATGACGTGCTAAATTAACGGTATTTGATATATGTCCTCTAACATCACTTCAGAAATCTTTCCACATTCACACAAGCAGTATTTAGCCTTTTCTTAAGACACTAACACATTCTTCATTTCAACTTGAAAGAAGTTAGAGGCTTGCCTCTCCTTGCCTCTTCAAATATTAACAGACACTTTCACTTTAATATTGGTTTCATGCAACCAGATTTTCAGAAAAAGTAGTTGTCCAGAATTGTTGATGTGAACTTCATGTTTCATGGCTTCAGCAACAATAAAAAAGCTCTTCCTGATTTTCAAAGACTTGAAGGTGTTACAGGAGGAATAGAATATTATCTTGGTTTCATACCTTTCTTGGGAACTTCAGATATCTTGTGATGACTGATATTATATACATGTGGAAGGTGTATTCAAAATTTCATGCAGGGTAGTTTTTTTGTGTGTGTTTTTTTTATATATTTTGAAAATATTTTTTTCCTTCCTTCCTCCGTTCTTCCTTCCTTTCTCCTTCCTTATTTTCTACTCGCTTCTGTATCCTGTCCTGTGGAAAGATAAATAGCCCCTTCAACTTATTTCAGCTATAGCTTTTAAAATATTTTGAAAACTCTAAAGGAATATAGTATGTGGCACTGATGTCGATGAAGGAGATGTCTGAATAGCCTATTGAAAGATGTTAGGTTTGTTTGTATGTACCAACAGTATGAGATGAAAAAACTGCCCTGAACTTCTAGACTCAATGTCTGCTTTCTTGTAGCTACTTAGATCTGTGACAAAATCTTTGGCATATTACTAAATGTTTTTCTAACTGTAGTTAGGTGCACGATTTTTGGCTGGCCCTACAAATGTAGGGATCATACTTTTCATACTGAATTTGGAAACCTGAATGGCTACTAAGTATTCTAGACTTAAAACTTTTCCGATTTGGGACTTTTTTAGATTGTAAACTGATACTGTTAAGAGTTCAGATATTTTTTATCTTTCATGTGTGCCTTTCAATAAACTTTGCCTGATTGTAACTCCACTTTTTATGAAATTAATGGTGCCTAAATTTGCTGTCTGGACAGGTGCTTGGATGATGATACAAGTTTTTAAAACATGACACTGTGAGCTGAGTTCTTTATTCTTATGTACTGTTTATACTTCATGCCAATTTTTGGATGTTACTCAGTGGCTCTCTGTGTTGTTCTGTACTTCCAAATGTCAGTTACTCCTTCAATTCCTAAATAGGATCTAAGCATTTATATTCCTGAAAACTGTTCACTTGTGAGTAAGATGGATGACTGACTTGTGTGGTAATTAATAGAGTCTAGTAACTGTGCCAAACATGTTTATGAAGAACAGTAGATGAGGAGACATCTTCTTGCATACAATTGTTATGATAGCTTTCTGATGTTTAATATATACTGATTGATTGTTACCTTGAAACTAAGACCTTGAT